CTGAGCCCAGCAGGTCAAGGCTGTGGTGACCGTGAGCATGCCACTGCATTTCAGCCTGGGCGACAGAGTGAGACTTCAACTCAACAAAAGAAAGAAAGAAAGAAAGCTGAGGCTCAGAGGCATTAATATAACCTGACTTGGTGCTGTATGGAGAGACCTGATCTGCCCCATCATCAGGTCTCTCCATACAGACAGAGGAACCCCAGCCAGGGACTCAGCAAACCTCAAAACACCCCAGTTTCTGAAGAGGAGGCATGAGACACCACCAGGTCTTCCTCCAGGCCTGGGAGAGCCCCTTGAGCATAGCCTCCAAGGCTGCCCAGCCCATCCTCCCACTCTGCCTCCGAGCAAGGGACCCTAGAGGCAGGCTGGGGGTGGCGGGAGACACTCTAGCTCTGGTCCTCAGTCACTGCTCCTTCCACTGGCCCGGATAGGCTGGTGAGAACCCCAGAGTCCTGGCTAGCCCCGGATGTGTGTGTCCGGCTGCCTGCCCTCGGCCTCAGGAGGAAAGGGAGGGGGGCTGGAGGAAGCAAAGTGTTGCAAAAGCAAGGCTGTGTCCCAGGCCAGCTCAGCGTGTCCTGCCGTCCCTCCCTCCCACGGCCTCCTGGGAGGCGGGAGGCTGTGAAGTGTGGAGACACCCCAGGACCTAAGAAATTGGGAACTCCCCACAGATCTGACCTCAGAGGATCGGGGTGTGGAGGGTCAAGGGAGCTTCTCCATTCTGCACTCACTCCTGTATTCTCTGTCCCACTAGACTCCAGAACTAGACTCCAGAACACTCTCCGCTTCATTAGCATTCCTCCCATCCCATTTAGCAGACTGGGACACTGAGGTTCAGAAAGGGAAGGTGACATGCCCAGGGGCAGACAGCAGCTATCAGTAGCTAAAGGTGAGAAAGAGCTTGGAGAAATCTGATCAAATGGGCTGCAGGCTGTAAGAAAACCCGTGGAAGAATTTCCTGTTGGGATCAGGACTGCCTGGTCGGGGTGGGAGGCAAAAGCTAGCCTTGGGACAGGAGAGGCACCAGGCCTCCAACACTTCCCTTCAGTGGGGGGCACCTTGGCCCCAGGGAGAGGCACCATACCCCCACTGCAGCTCACTGACAGTACAGTGACTCCTCCTCCCGCTGCCATGGACGTTGTGACCTGCTCTCTGTCTCAGCCACAATAGGAAACCCACAATGCTACCAGGCGCTGCTTGCACCAGCTGGCAGGGCTCACATGGTGGGCATGAGTCCTGGAGGGGTTGGTGTCGGAGGTTAAGAGCAGATCCTAAGGCTTCCGATCCCAGGCACTGCCTTGCGGGGATGGGAGGCAAATCTCCTCAGGATCCAAGAGGAGGGAGGAGCATCAAGCTAAAAGACCCTGAGTCCCAGAGCCCCAGAGGGAGACTGGTCTCCAGGGGAGGCCCTGCGTTCTCATCAGACCTCCCCGGAAGCTGGGGAGGGGGTGCCTGGGAGCCCAATCCCTCAGCCAATCCAGATCCCAGCAAAATCTGACTTCTGGAAGAGCGAGAAGGCCGAGGATGCTTTGGAGTGGGGGTGGGAGGGCACAGCAGCCCCATGGCCTCCTCCGTCCACACTGTGGCTCCTTCCTCCCCAGCTGCTGCCAACCCAGACAATGCGCCCATTGTTCTGCGTCTCCGGGAGCCCGTGTGCAACTGTGTGTATCTGTTTCTCTCTGTGTGTGACTGTGTGTATTGCTCTGTGTCCGTCTGTGTGTGAGACTTTGTGACTGTGTATATGTGTGTGCGTGTGACCAGTTGTGCACACTTGTGGTTGTGTGAGTCTGTATCTCTGTTTGGCTCTGTGTATTCAAGGGTGAGAGAGAAAGCTGTAGTGACTCCTGGTGACTCTGAGACTTTGTGGGTGTGTGCTTGTCCTCCCTCAAGACTGTGTTGGTGACTGTGTCTGACTGTGACTGGGTGTGTAACTATGAGTGTGTGTGGCTGTGTGAGAGAATATCTCAGGGTGTGTGGACGAGAGTGGCTCCTATATGTTTGTGTGTTCCTGTGGGGGCTGTGTATGCCTCAGTGGGTGACTTTGGTGATCAGAACCTTTGAGGTGTGGGCTTGTGCCAGGATGGAGTGACAAAGAAAAGAGGAATGGGAAAGACAAGGTGATTCTGGGATCAACAAGGGAAGGAAAGCTACAGGAACCAGAGATCCAATGTTTACACAACCCCCCATCTATCCCGGTTCTCTTGGTGAGAAGGGCTCAGAACCTGACCCTGGCCTGAGATGCCCCTGGCCTCCAGTGAGTAAGGCAGGGACAGCAGGGAATGAATTTTCCTGACCAGAAACCTGGGGCCTATAGAGAGACATTGGGCAGGGTTGGAGGTAGAAGGAGGACAGAAGAGAATGATGCCTCATAAAAGATCTTGAGGGAACGTTTTGAGACCTCTGAGGCCCAGGGGCCCTTGCCAAGGATCAGCTTAGATACCAGGTGAGGTGTGAATGCGCAATGTCTAGGAAAAGATGGAGGGACCAGCCTTCCTAGAGGAGGGACCAGCATAGGTAAAGGCCTTGAGATGGGAAGAGACGTCGGCAATGGCTTGTCCCAATGGAAGCCTGGGGAATGGTGACTGGCACAGCCTGGCTCCCAGCCCTAGGGCACCCATCTCATTCTGGGAAGAGACCTTAGTTCTAGCCCTGAGACCGCCTGTCCCTGCTCTGTCACCATGAGCTAGTCCTCTCTCCTCTTGGCCTCAGTTTGCTCATCTCTACAGTGAGAGGTTGGGCTCTGTGATTCACAGTCACAAAGACTTCCTAGAGTTTCTCTTTCTGCTCACACCTAGATCAGTATAGGCAGTGAGTCAGGCAGGGCCCCTGCCTTCCGGGATTTCCCATGGGGGAGGGGGAGAAGAGACAGGCAGCACTTTATAGGGAGAAGAAAGAGCCAGACGCAGAGTTAGACGACGGCCCTATAGGGCTGCGTGAAGAAGGCGCCCCTGGAGAAGAGTCCAGAGCAGGACAAAGTGGGGACAGAAATGGTTTCGGGGGGAGGGTGGAGGGAGAGGCCCAGCCTGGGGCAAGGCTTGGGAGCTGGGCTCCCTAGAACTGGCTGGATGCAGGGACTGGGTGGGGACAGGGGAGTGAGGCTGTGCTGCCCGCTTTTCTGTTTGGGTGACACTTGGTGAAGTGAATCTATTGAGGGAGACAGGCCATCGAAGGGACAAAGAATTTGGCTCTGTTGAATTTGAGGTGCTCAGGGAACATCCAGGAGGCAGTCTGAAGTTCACACGCCTCAGCACACAGATGTGCGACCACATGTCCTGAGCCAAAGACCAGAGCCCAAGGCCTGGCTAGTGACCTTACAAGGAAAACGGACAGCGGAAGGTTTTCACTCAGGACTGACTCCAGGAAATCTGGGCCTCTGCCAGTAAGAAGGTGACTGCAGCCAAGCTGTGCATGAAGGCACCCAGGAGTACCTGGGCCGTGGGGGCAAGGCATTGGTGAGGCGGGCAGCAGGAGGGGCCCCGAGAAGGAGCCGGCAGAATGGGGGCAGGAAAACCCCTGGGGGGCAAGATCCTGGAGATCCCTGACCACTGGGGAGAGGCTTTAAAAGGCAGGAAGGACAAAGAGTAATAGCAGTTGTACGCCAAGCCCTGTGCCGCCAGCGTTCCGTACCTTCCCTCCGCCCCGGTGAGACCTGTACCACCATTGTTTCCATTTACAGAGGGGGACACCGGAGTCCAACGAGGCCAAGTGCTTCTATGAGCAGGATGAGAGGAGGTCAGGACCAGTAGGAGGTGGTTTCCAGGAGCTCTGAGGAGTGTGTGGAGCTGGGTTCAGCTGGAGACATCCAGAAAGTGTCTGCCGCTCCAGGCTGTCAGGGTGTTGGCAAGGAGAGGCAAGGTAAGCTACAGGGCCGGACCCCAGGGGTGGACTCCCCCAAACCAGTGCTGCTTGTCACAGGCCTGGGCTTGTTGGTCTCTGGCTGGGTTGTCAGCAGGACCCAGGGCTGCAGCCTCCCTGCCAGAGGTTTTGAACCCCTCTAGGAACACTGGGACACCTCAGGGGCCCTTCACTGAAACCCACCATCCAAATTGTCACCAAATCACAAGGACAAAGATTCTGAACCTTCCCTTTCAGAATTTTAGGCCACTAGACCTTTTATTTCTTCCTTCCCCTCCCCTTTCTCCTCCTCCTGCCTTTGGTTTTGTGTGCGCGCGTGCGTGTGTGCGTGCGTGTGTGTGTGTGTGTGTGTGTGTGTGTGTGTGTGTGTGTGTGTGTGTGTTGTGGGCATAAACTGGGTGGGGCCCAGCCACTGTCTATCTGGCTTTCTCTCTGAGGCTCAGTTTCCCCCAACGGCAAAGAGGCATGTAATCCCAGCTCACCTGCTTGCCTCCCCAGGCATGATGAAGTCATCAGAAATTCAACCCAGTTTATCTGAGCTGCCTGTCCCTTCCCCCTCTCCTCACCTCTTCCTGACTTTCAGTTTCTTTACAGATCCTGGGTGCCTTTGGGGAAAGAGTAGCCAAACCAGTGGAATGTGGGTTGCTTACAACTTTCCAACCAAAATCCCCCACTCAGGGGAAGTCCCTTCAAAAGGGAAACTAAAACTCCCTCCTAGCCTAGTCCCAATCCACCCTTTCCACATGACTCCGACCTCACCTGCCACCCATTCAGCCCCTTCCCCCAGATGACCTGGGCCCACACTACTGCCACCTTCCTGCGTTGTGACCCCAGATGAGTCCCTTCCCCTCGCTAGCCCCACTCTGCCCATGCTAAATGAGGACACAGGAGTCACTTCAGGTTGTTGTGAGGGTTCAGTGAGGAATGGCCGTGTTGAGGAAGTTGTGGCGAAAAGCTGGCGCCATCACTGCTGCGTAGCTGGCTCAAGAGCAATGCCTCCTGCCTGCAATCCCAGCTGTTTGGGAGGGCGAGGTGGGATGATTGCTTGAGCCCAGGAGTTCAAGACCAGCCTGAGCAACATAACAAGACCCCATCTCTACAAAAAAATTTTACAAAATTAGCCAGGCATGGTGACGCACCCCTGAAGTCCCAGCTATTGTGGAGACTGAGGTGGGAGAATTGCTTGAGCCCAGGAGGTTGAGGATGCAGTGAGCATGTCACTGCACTCCAGCCTGGGCAACAGAGTAAGACTCCAACTCAAAAAAAAAAAATTGCCGGGCTCGGTGGCTCAGCCTGTAATCCCGCGCCTTGGGAGGCTGAGGTGAGCGGATTGCCTGAGCCCACGGTTTCGAGACCCACCTGGGCAACTTGGTGAGACCTCATCTCTACAATAAATCAAAAACTCAGTCGGGCATGGTAGCGCCTGCCTGTAATTCAGGCTACTCGGAAGGCTGAGGCGGAAGGATCGCTGGCACCCAGTGGGTCGAGGCTGCAGTGGCCGGGAGCAGCCACTGCACTCCAGTCTGGGCGACAGAGTGAGACTCCAACTCAAAATAATAATAATAATAATAATAATAATAATAATAATACTGTTCCTCCATGCTAGTATGTAAAATTCTGATGTAGGAGCCTGACACAGACATAGTGTTCAACAGTGTGCCCATTCTGGTCCTTCCTCCGTTCCTTCTGCTCTGGGGAGAGGAGCCTAGAACTACCCTAAGACAATCCTGTGACCCCACATCACCTTTTTTCCAGGGCAGGTGGTGGAGGGACCAACTATTTTATTTATTTATTTATTTATTTATTTATTATTTTTTTGAGTTGGAGTCTCACTCGGTCACCCAGAATGGAGTGCAGTGGCCGCTCCCGGCCACCGCAGCCTCGCCTGCTGGGCTTCGGCAATCCTTCCGCCTCAGCCTTTCAAGTAGCCAGAATTACAGGCATGCGCTACCACGCCCGGCTGATTTTTTGATTTATTGTAGAGATGAGGTTTCGCTGCCCAGGCGGGTCTCGAACCCGCGGGCTCAGGCAATCCAGAAT